TTTATTGTGGTACTGAGGGTTCAATAAAGGAGTGCTCTACCACTAAGTTATATTCCTGTTCAATTTATTTTATTTTATTTTATTTGAGACAGGATATCATTAAGTGTCCCAGACTTAATGATATCCTTCAATTTGTAATCATCCTGTTATAGCCTCCTGAGTCATTAGGATTACAAAAATATGCCATCATGCTGTGGGAGGTCATTATTTTCTTGTGTAATTTTATTATGTGTACTTCAAACATATATTGAGTTATCTCATTTATTAAAGCAAAGCAGAATACAATATAGGCCTAGAATTCCAAGGAAACAAGAGTTGCCAAAAATTTCTAAATTGTTTTTATTAACCCGTCACCTATATTATGTGTTTTTAACTGCTTGTCATTATCCAAGAAGTCCCTACTAAATCAACTCATCCTTAATTTCCAAAAAATGTTTTTCCTAAGAATGAAAATAAAATATAGTAACTACCAATGAAAAGATCCATAGTATAACTTTGACATATGTGTTTAAGTGGAAGAAAAGATCTTCAATTGTTGATCATTATGAGGACATGAGATAAAGAATTGGGAATAATTTTGCCATTAGTACTTTCATAATTAAAGTAAATGAGAACAATAAAAGTTGAAAGGAGACATAATAGATCATCAAGTTTTAAAATATTAAAATGATTATATGTTGAAAATGTTTAATAAACAAGTAGAGAAGAAAATGGATTGCTGGGGAGTGTAAATGAGTGGTATTTATAGAATAAGCAAAGTATTGGAGAAAGTGAGAATGAAAGATATCTACAACCCCAGGGGAGAGATTCAATTTCTCTAAGATAATCATAGGCATAGTGAAGGAAAGAGAAGAATATGAACAAACATGAGCACTTTATAAATTTGTTTTGAAGATGAGGAAAAGAGGAGGCTCCTGCTGGATCAAATAATTACAAATGCTGTGTTATCCTATGGAAATAAAGAAGTGAAGCTATGAAGTATTGTGAAAGAATTGTTGAGCAGTTTGGAGCTCTTATTTGTACATTGTAATCATTAATGTGTAGTAAAAAACCCTCTTTTGTCTCATTGCTTTACTGTCTGTTTGCTGTAGACACCCAGAAGGAAAATGTTGAGATCCTTTCAGTGTTTAGGTAAGGGTAGATGAAAGGAAACAAGGGCAATATAATGAGTTTGTGAATAAGGCACATTAAAAATTGTATTAAATTATAAGATGGATTAAATGTTAGTGAAGTGTAATGATAAAGTGTTAACTTCAGTAGGTTAGTTGTCATAGTGGGTTTGATAATGCACCCCCGAAATTCATGTCTACTTAGACACTCAGACATAATCTTATATAGAAATGTGTCCTAGTTGATGAAACTAGTTGAAAGGAGGTCATACAGGGAGTGAATGATGTCCTGTCTTATTGGCATCAGAGAGGTCATAGAGTCATGTGAAGATGAATGTACAAATTGCAATTATACTACCATAAGCAGAGAAATTCAAAGTACCATTATATTTTGGAAAAGGCAATTAAGGTTGTTCCCTAGACCATTTTGTGACATTATGGCTTTTCTAGCACCTTGATTTCAGACTTCTGATCTCCAGAATATTGAGAAAATAAATTTCTGTTGTTTTAAGCCACTATTTCATGGTGATTTGTTATAGCACCTCTAGGTAACTAATACAGTTGTTTTGATTAGTTTGATGATTTTGGCTTTTGTATTAATTACTTAAGTCAGTAAATAAGTCATAAGCTTTTAAAATTACTTTATAATGTGTATTGAAAATGTGATTTTGGAGCAATACAGTTTCTTAAAATGCCAACGTCCACTGTGTGATGTTGAAGATGTGGCCGTGGACCAGTGAGGAACAGGTTAGAGAATGACAGATATGTGAAAAAGTGGTTGATGAATAAACATGAGTTACTCTGGAGAGTTTGACTATCAGACAGAGGATAAACTATTTCAATATTGAAGAGGTATAATTTTAAGGTCAATAAAAGGAAGCCAGCAAAGGGAACCATTTTATTCTTGGAAGAAGAAGAAAATATTTTAAAATGGCATTTCTCTCTTTCTTTTTTATGGAATAGAAAAATGGTAGAACAGAATCTCATATATTTATGTCATTGGATTCATTTTTTCCTTTTATTTAATCTACTGTTTAATAAAAGCTAATGCACTGCTCCAAACATAAGGTTCTGTAGGAATTTTTACAATTTTTTTTCTTTATTATATATATATTCACCATCTTTTATTGAGGCGAAAGGCAAATATCATTGAGTTGAACCCGAATAAACAAATATATACAACCACTGGTAATTTAATATTTTGTGCTAATGGTATACACTGTAGATACAACCCAAGAAGAGTAAATTACAATCCTATCAATAATACATTGCATCCGGGCTCCAGTTCCCCACTACACAAGAAAATGTGCATTGGCACAGAGTCTCCAAATATTAAAAGCTATGCATATAATGAGGCTATGGGTATACACAAGCTAGCAACTCCCACAGGACTCTTTTCCAGTCTTTGTTATCAAGGTCTTTTATGGGGGAAGTGGGCTACCTTGCAGCTTCCAAAGCTGGTACTAAATGAAGAACTCCCACCCATAATCTCAGCAGATCTCTGGGTGAAGCTTCCAATTTGCAGACAGCATAGACCACTGCATCCATTTGGATACCCTGGATTGTGGTAAATGTCCAGAGTCTGCTGGGGTGGCCTAGGATGCTGGACAAGGGACTCTAGAGAGCTCAGTGCAGATGGCAATATCTGAGAGAAAGATCACATGGCCTATCCTCACTCTGACCCCAGTCTCCCCAAGGTGTAGGACCTGACAAAAGAAAGGAGGAGGGAAGGGAGGAAGTAGCAGGAGAGATGGCAGGCCAGGAGCTCACCACCTGCAAAGGAGGAGAGATTTCTTTTGGGATCGAATGTTCTGACTACTAAAATTTTGACAGCACATTCAAATCCCCTTACTTCTCCCTCCAGAAGAAACAAATGACAATCTTGTTTGAGAAGGGGGAAGAGTATTTCTGTTGTAATAAGATGAAGAACAGGGATGAATTAGGTTAATTTTTGCAGGAGGGCTAGTTAATGCACCAGTCACACACTGGTCTTTGATGTGCCCAATTCAGGGAATATTGAGGACAGATGGGGATGGCCCTTCTTGTCTCTTTTTTAATCAGACTCTGGAAGAAGAAGGAGAAGACAGGTGGGGAGGGAGGCTGTCAGACCAAAGGAAGGAGATACAGACAGCATTTCCAGTTATAAGCCTGAAGAGGAAAAGCTCTGGTCAGACACCCATTCTTTAGCAGGAAAAGAAGCTTCCTAAATTGCTAAGACTTGACTGGGCTTTCTGAGAGACACCTATGCATCAAAGAAAAATAATGTGAAAAATTCCTTTTGTCCGGAGACAAGAAGCAGCATCTGGAAGTCTTGTCACAGCTTTGCTCCCTCCCCCCTGCAGCTCCCCCCAAATCTCCCTTCAAAACCTGTTTCCCCTTTAGAAGGGTGAAGAAGGCCATTTTTCTTTTCTCTCTGTCAGAAAGTAGGGACCGGTGGGACACCTTTACTGTGGTTCTTGTCCTCAAGTCTATTAATGTGGTGGATTTACATTTATCAATTGGCATATGTTGAATCAACCTTGCATCTTGGGAATGAAGCCAAATTGATCATGGTGCAATATCTTTTTAATATGTTTTGCATGTAGTTTGCCAATATTTTATCCAAAAATTTTGCATCTGTGATCATTAAGGATATCAACCTGAATTTTTCTTTCCTTGATGTGTCTCTGTCTGGTTTTGTCATCAAGGTGATGTTGGTTTCATAGAATGACTATCTCAATAGATGCAGAAAAAGCATTTAACAAAGTGGGACACCCACTTATGTTTCAAACAGTGGAGAAAATAGAGATAGAAGGAACTTACTTACAACTGTGTATGACAAAATAATGCCAAAATCATACTGAATGGAGAAAAACTGAAAGCATTTCCCTCAAGATATGAACAAGTCAAGAATGCATACTCTCGTCACTCTTATTCAACACAGTCCTCAAAACTCTAGCCAGAGCATTCAGGCCAGAGAAGAAAGTCAAGAAAATACAAAAGAAAAATAAGAGCTTAAATTATCTCCACTTGCTGATATATGCATAATCCTATCTTTATTTATTTTAAGTTTTTATTTGTTCTTTTCAGTTATAGAAAATGGTGGAATGTATTTTGACATATCATACGTACGTAGAGTATAACTTCCTGGTTTTTTTTGGTTGTACAAGATGTGGAGTTACAGTGGTCATGTATTCATATAAGAACATAGGAAGGTTATGTTCAGTTCATTCTACTTTCTTATTCCCACCTATTCTCCCTTGCTTTCATTCTCCTTTGTCTAATCCAATGAACTTCTTTTTTTTTTCCAGATTAATGAAGTGCTTATTGTTTTTTAAAAAGAAGCCTTCATCACACTGACACTCATTTTCAATTTGTGGTCATTCTGCCCTCTCTCAAGATCTTTACGTGCCAAACCTTGGCTCATTATAGTTATTATTAATTTTCTCAGTTTAGTTAATTGAAAGGTAACATGTTTATTGTAGAAAATAAACAATAATCTATTTTAATGTTAAATTATTTTACGATTAGTTTTTAAGTAATTAGCTGTATGTCATCCCATAAGTCTGTTTAAAATTGTTATGATCATCCAGGTGAGCAGGGCACACCTATGATCCCAGCTACTCAGGAGTCTGAGGTAGGACAATTGCAAGTTTGAGGCCAGCCTGTTGGTGAGTCCCTGTCTCAAAATGAAAAATGTAAAAAGAGTTAGGGATGAAGCTCAGTGGATTCCATTCACAGTACTAAAAAATAATTTTTGTTATGATCATCTTTAGAAAACAAAATATGTTGAAATAATCATGTCACAGGCATTGATATCAGATAAAAGAATTACAAAATAAAATGCAAAATTAACAAGGACAAGCCATTTTCAAACTATCTTTTCAATTAGAAATTAAGGATTTAAAACATTTAATTTTCATCTATCAACATCATTGTTATATACTCCTTGTAATTAATTGAATTTGAGTGTGGATGGATTGCAGCAGACAACATTTCTTCCATTTCTTCTTGGGAGATAGGGTCACCTTCTTCAGTCATATGTTTGATGAGTTCTTCCTTAGTAAGAAACCCACATTTAGCAGAATCTAAAACCTCAAAAGCTTGAAGAAGGACATCTTCTGGAATTGGTCTGTACCTTCTTTCCAGAAGTACTTTGGTCATCACTGGAAGAAATTTTTCATATCTAATATATCCAGTGGGTTCTAATTCTTCTACAAATCTCTTTGAAAGGGGAAGACTAACAGACATACACCAAACTTCACATCCCTCCTCTGCAAGCAAATCATGTAGCTCTCCTTCACTAGGGCAGCATCCTAATGACCTGATAATTGTCCCAATTTCTCTCACATCCACTGTATTATTGGACTCATGGTCAAACACTTCAAATGCTTCTTTGTTTTTTTTTGTGCTAGTGCTAACTCTGTAATCCCAGCATCTGGGGAGGCTGAGGCAGGAGGATCACGAGTTCAAAGCCAGCCTTAGCAATTTAGCAAGGCCCTAAGCAACTCAATGAGACCCTTCCTTGTCTTTATCTTCCGCCATCTTGATGCGGAGCTGGTCGCCTGGGAGATGCCTGTCATTAGCCCGGGTGGCCCCCAATGAACTTCTATTCCTCCCTTTCCCCACACTCTACTTATTGTGAGTGAGCATTCACATATCAGAGAGAATATTTGGGCTTTGAATATTTGGGATTGTCTTATTTTGCTTAGCATGATAGTCTCCACTTCCAATCATTTACCAGCAAATGCCATAATCTCATTCTTCTTTATCACTGTGTAACATTGCCTTGGGTACATGTACCACATTTTCTTCATTCATTCATCTGTTGAAGGGCATATAGATCAGTTTCATAGCTTAGCTACTGTGAATTGAGCTTCTACATAGCTTACTATTGTGAATTTAGCTTCTATAAACACTAATTTGGCAGCATCAGGATAGTATGCTGATTTTAAGTCCTTGGGGCATATACTCAGAACTGGGTAGCTGGGTCAAACAGTGATTTCATTTCAAGATTTCTGAGGAATCTCCATACTGCTTTCCAGAGTGGTTGCATCAATTTGAAGTTTCACCAGCAATGTATGAGTGTATATAAGATTTGTTTTTTGTGTTCTTGATAATTGCCATTCTGACTGGAGTGAGATTGAATCTCCTTGTAGTTTTTATTTGCAGTTCTCTAAATGCTAGAGATGTTGAACATTTTTTCATATATTTTTGTCCAGTCATATTTCTTTGTGAAGTGCCTGTTCAGTTCCTATGCCCATTTATTGATTGGGTTATTTGCTTCTTTGGTGTTACATTTTTTGGGTTCTTTATATATCCTGGATATTAAGGCTCTGAGGTGTAGGTAGCAAAGATTTTCTCCAATTCTGTAGACTCTCTGTTCACATTCATGTTTCCTTTGTTTTCTTTTCTGTGAAGTAGCTTTTATTTTGATAGAATCACTTCAATTGATTCTTGATTTTGCATCTTTTGCTTTAGAAGTCTTGTTGAGGAATTTGATTCCTAAGCCAACATGATATAGATTTGGGCCTATTTTTACTTCTATTAAGCACAGGCTCTCTGGTCTAATAATGCCTAGGACCTTGATCCACTTTAAGTTGAGTTTTGTGCAGGATGAGAGATAGAGGTTTAGTTTCATTTTGCTACAAGTGAATTTTCAGTTTTCCTAGCACCATTTGTTGAAGAGGTATCTTTTCTCCAATGTATATTTCTGGCACCTTTGTCTAATATGAAATAACTGTATTTACATGGGTTTATCTCTGTGCCTTCTATTTTATACCATTGGTCTTCACATCTGTTTTAGTGCCAATATCATGCTGCTTTTGTTACTCTATAACTCTGTAGAATAATTTAAGTTCTGGTGTTGTGATGCCCCCTTCATCACTTTTCTCACTAAGGATTGCTTTGGTTATTTTCAGCTTTTCATTTTTCCAAATAGATGTTATGATTGCTTTTTCTATTTCTATGAAGAATGTCATAGGAATTGCATTAAATCTGTAAAGCACTTTGGGTACTATGACCATTTTGACAATATTAATTCTGCCTATTCAAGAATATGGGAGATTATTCTATATTTAGAAGACAAAAGCACTTTATCAGGAGACTTCTAGAGCTGATAAACAATTTTAGTAAAAGAGCAAGATACAAGATCCACACATATAAATTCACATATAAATTAATTGCTTTCCTATACTATAGAAAAAAACCTTCTGAAAAAAAATAAAGTACTTCATTCACAATAACTTCAAAAAATACTTGGGAATTAATTTAATGAAATATATCAAGGACTTCTACAAGAAAAACTATAGAACACTGCAGAACAAAGTTGAAAAAGACCTGAGAAAATGGAAAGACATCACGTGTTCGTACATAGGCAGAATCAATATTATTGAAATGACCATACTACCAAGAGCATTATACAGATTCAATACAATCACCATAAAATGACCAAGACATTCATCACAGAACTTTAAAAGGAATTCTGAAATTTATTAAAGAATAAGAGACAGAATAGCTAAAGTACTCAGAAGCAAAAATAGAAACACTGGAGCTGTCACCACAGATCTCTAGTAACAAAACAGCATGTTACAGGCAACAAAACAGACCCTAGGACCAATGGAATAGGATAGAACACACAGAAATAAACCCACATTAATACAATTATCTGATACTAGACAAAGATGCCAAAAACATTTATTGGAAAAAAGATATAGACTTTAGTAAATGGTGCTGAGAAAACTGGGAATATACATGTAGAAGAATAAAACTTGACCTCTAGTTCTCACCCTCCACAAAAGTCAACTGCAAATGTGTTAAATACCTATCAATTAGAACTGACAGTCTGCCACTATAGAAAAATATATTGTCCGACACACTAGCGTGTTGGCCTAGGAACTGACTTCTTTAACAAGACTCCAAAAGTGTAAGAAATAAAACCAAAAATCAGTAAGGTTGCATCATATTAGCAAGCTTCTTCACAGAGAAAGAAACAATTAATTACAGAAAGAAAGAACCTACAGAATCACAGAAGTTCTTTGCCACCTGTTCCTCAGATAGGGCATTATATTTAGAATATATTCATAATTCAAATAACTTCACACCCAAATAACAAATAACCCAATTAATAAGTGGGCAAAAATCCTAAACAGATACTTCTCAAAAAAATAAATACAATTGGTCAATGATTACTCAAAAACATGTTCAACATTTCTAGCAATTGGGAAAATGCAAATCAAAACTACTTAGAGATGTCATCTCACACTACTCAGAAGAGCTATTATCAAGGACTCAAATATTAATAATTGTTGGTGAGGATATGAGGGAAAGGTACACTCATACATTGTTGGTGAAACTGCAGATTAGTGTAATCAATCTGGAAATCAGTATGGAGATTACACAAAAAAAGGGGGTAGCAATGGGACCACCATGAGATTCAGCTATCCTATTCCTCAGTATGTATCCAAAAGATGTAAAATCATCACACTAGAGTGACACAGACACATAAATATGTATAGTGTCAAAATTTACAATAGCCAAGCTATGGAACTAAACTTGGTGCCCTTTCAACAGATCAATGGATAAAGAAAATATGGTATATATACACAGATGACTATCACACAGACATAAAAAGAAAAAAATCCTGACATTTGTAGGTACCTGCATTGAACTGGAGACTATCATGATAAATGAAATAAACGAGACTCAGAAAAGTAAAGGTCGAATGTTGTCTCTGATATTTGGTAGTAAGTCCAAAATTAGGATGGAAAAAAGAGAGAGAAAGAGAATAGAGAGAATGGGAAAAGGGTAAGGAGATGCCATCAAAAAAGAAGGAAGTCTGGTGGGCTACATGAAGGGGAATGAGGGAGAGGGAAAATGGACAAGAGAAGGGAAGACCAGAGGAATGAACCTAACCTATCTTTCCTATGTACATACATTATTATTCCACAGCAAATCTCAACATCATGCATATCCATGAGAAACTAACTAAAATGAAAAAAAAAATGGAAAGTAAGCAAGAAAAAGAATAGTAGAGTAGCGGGAAGGAAACAGGGATAGAGAACAAGGGAGAGAAAGGAAAAATACTGGAAACCAAATTTGAGCAAATTATATTCCATGCTTTTTAAAATTATGTCAAAATGAATCCACATGCTATGTATAAACAAAAATGTATAACAATAAAAAGGTTGGAGAATGAAAATGAAAAAAGAAGCACTTGGAACAGAAGGGGAATGAATTATATCCCATGTATGTATGTATGATTATGTCAAAATAAACCTCACTATAATGTGGAAATATAATAATAAAAAATACATTTAAAAAGAAAAAAATCTATTTTTAGAAGCATTATATCTTTCTTAAAAATTTTAAATTTGTTTTAATTAGTCATACATGACAGTAGTATACATTTATGCACTTTGATATAATTTCTCTTTCTTGTGAGTGTACAGATTGTAGAATCACATTGGTCATGCAGTCACATATATACATAAAGTATTAATGTAGGTTTTATATTACTATTTTTCCTATCCTCACATCTCTTCCTCTAGCCCCTCCCTTTCTTCTACCTAATCTAAGGTAACTTCCCACCACACCTTATTGTGAATTAGCATCCGCATATTAGAGAAAACATCTTTGTTTTGGGGGGATTGGCTTTTTTTGCTTAGCATTATATTCTCTAACTCCATCCATTTACCGGCAAAAGCCATAATTTCATTCTTCTTTAAAGCTGAGTAATATTCCATTGAATATATATACCACATTTTCTTTATCTAGTCATCTATTGAAGGACACATAGGTTAGTTCCATAGTTTAGCTACTGTGAATTGAGCTACTATGAACATTGACATGGCTGCATTGTTGTAGTGTGTTGATTTTAAGTCCTTTGAGTATAAACCAAGGTGTGGGATAGCTGTGCCATTCCCAGTTTTCTGAGGAATCTCCAAACTGCTTTCCATAGTGATTGCACCAAGTTTCAGTCCCACCAGCAATGGGTGAGTGTACCTTTTTCCCCGAATCCTTCACAACATTTATTGTTTCCTGTGGGATTGCCATTCTGACAGGAGTGAGAAGAAATCTTAGTTTAGGTTTGATTTGAATTTCTCTAATTGCTAGAGATACTGAACATTTTTTCATGTTTATTGATCGATTGTATTTCTTCTTCTGTTAAGTGTCTGTTCAGTTCATTAGCCCATTTATTGATTAGGTTATTTGTTTTCTTATTCTTTCTCAACCCTTTCTAACCCAGGTTTTAGTTAGGTAAATTACGTCAGGTAGCTTGCTTTTCATTATTGGATAAAAACATTGTTACAGCTGGGTGTTGTGGTGGATGCCTGTAATCCCAGCAGCTCAGGAGGCTGAGACAGGAGGATCCTGATTTTAAAGTCAGCCTCAGCAACACTGAGGTGCTAAGCAACTCAGTGAGACCCTGTATCTAAATAAAATACAAAATAATGCTGGGGATGTGACTCAGTGGCTGAGTGCCCTGAGTTCGATTCCCAGTATACCTTCCACTGCCAAAAAAAAAAAAAATTGCTGCATTACAT